TAACAGTAAGTTTTTATGCCTGTCAAAATATATTAAAACTTTGTAATCGTTGTAAAATGCACAAGCAGGTAGCTAAGTGACTTCAGTGACTTTTTAACAGTTGTTGAACATGAAAGGCTTCTTTTAAGATTATGTTTAAATCCAAAAGCAGACTAACTTACACTGCTTACTGTGGCTTAACTATCCTCTTAAAAATTGGAGCATACTCAGAAAACTGAGTTTCTGTACAGGTAAGAATGATAAAACGTTACATTCTCCCACAAATCTGTGTCTGTGATTCATACACAAAAAGAGATATATTCATTATGTGAAAAGAGAGAGAAGGACATACAGTTTCTCCTTTAACAGGACAGACTTCCCACTGAAATGAATTATGTTATCATTTCACAAGCCTCGACTACTAAGGCTGGTAAAGGACACCAGAAACTGCTATTCTGACAGGTTACAATGCCTTTTAATCAAGGATGCAATTGGAATACTGGAGGCAGAATTAATTCTGTACAGGTACAAAGGCATCCTGTGCTTCCACTTGTGCCAGCTTCCAAGCACCTGTTATTTCACTGCTTGTCCCTGAAAGAGGAAGGCAGAGAGGAAACTCTGCTCTTATATAGAGGACAAACAAGTGTCAAGGAAACATCCCCATGGGATTTCCTATGGGCTTTATTATGAAAGATGTAATCTGTGTCCGTTTGCACGACAGCAATGAATAAAGCAGACAAATCAAAGCAAACTAGCAAAGTGACTGGGATTTGTATTGCCACCTTACCTTCTGGTCTTTCAGGCAGTGTCAGACCAAGCCAATTCATGTTCATGCTACACTGGCTGCTCACACTTGATGTTCTGCTACCAAAAGGATGTAGAGGAATGGTACCAATGACCAGTGGTAAGTTAAGAAATAAATCCATGGCACCTGGAATATCAACGTATACCTAAAAATCAAAACCATGAAGAGATGCATGATAAAAATGTAGGTTTATATGAGCACTTCAGAATTATTAGACTAAGTTATCTGTTCACGTAATTTTCCACATGGAACTTAAGTTTCTTATTGTCTGTTCTAGGTCCAATGTCCCTGTGTCCATCAGAGTCAAAAGCAGCTCAGGATTCTCAACACAAACCCTCTCATGGAATTTTGCCTACTCGTAAAACACTCATTTAACTGGCATACCACAACTGTTTAAGAACATGCAGAATTTAAACTGAACTTATTTACAGAACTCATCAGGACACTAACATTAGGAGATGTATTTCTTTAATAACTGGTTAGCACAGAATGCTCTGTTAGCAGTTCACAAACAATGATGGAAACTACTCATGCTCAAGTGAAACAGACAATCCAACATACCATCAGTGAGTACTCCACACGGATTATACTACAGTCAAGGATTGAAGGGGAAACAGGTGGAATTTTCAGTTGTTTGCCATTCCAGGTTTCTGTTTTGCCAGACGACAAGGATTCCCCACGAAGGTTGGCAACAAGCTGTTTGACTTCCTTCATTTTCCCTTTGGCATAAAATGCCTGTGTTTGGTAAATGGCTGCCTTTGGCACCACCACACGGGAAGAGCAGTTCTCAATCTCAGCGAAGATCTGAATTGATTCACCTGAAACAAAAGAGAATTTCATGTTCTCTTTATATCTACAAGGTAGCTTAAGAAAATTGCCACATTCTGTGTATTGTTAGAACACACTTGGATACTGCTAGCAATGCTGTACATTGAAAAGCACCCATTGATGCTAGTAGGAACAGGAACACCATGAGCTAATCTGAAAGAAAAATGCCCAGGTCTAATAGAAGCATAGGTTTTTCAAGAAACTGGAGACACAGACAGCGTTAAGTTCACAAAATTAGTCATTAAGAAAATATCAGGACTACTGAATACAGAACAAGGCAGTAAAAATAGTTTAAATAATTCGTTTGTGTAAAAGCAGAAAGTACAATCTGTCATTTTAAAAGGGAAGGAAAAACATTTCCTATAATTACTTCTGTTACATACCTGGGGTGTAGCCCTTCCTTTCAATTTTGGCACTTAAGGATATTGGGCCTGAGGTACAAAACCAACAACAGAGAGTCTTTTCTTTTGTGCCTGCTTGGGGTGACTGCAAGAAAAGAACAACATTGCCCATTTAATTAAGAGTTCCACAAATCTCTTAAATCTATTCCAATCAACATAAGAAGTGATCTTCCTAATGTAGTGCTTATGGATTTTGATAAACATTGCTAGTTTAGAGGAAAAAAAAGCTCAAGCAATTTAAAAGACATTATGCAAATACAAGTTTTATTCCAACTCAAGTTTTATTACTTATTAACACTACCTCTTCTGCTACACTTCATGCTACAGTTAAACTTAAAACTACTGTGTAACCGAAGGAAAGGCTTTAAAGCCTACATACCCCAACGAGTTGTTGGCGGAGCTTTTAATTTCTCAGTAAACTAGAACATCTACACTATTTCACAAACAATAATTGAAGTACCGTAACCTCGACTCCTGCCATTTCCTGTGTTTCAAAATGATCCCATTTCATCTATATTAAATAGACTTTGTTATTTTACACAGTATCAGGATTTAGGACTTGATCCAAAACCCATTAAAGTCAAATGGGAGTCCTTTGATTTTAATGGAATTTGTGCAAGGCCAATGTCCCTTTACAAGTCTGATTTTTCACCCATACACACAAGAAACCTATTTCAATGGACTTTGAATTTTTTCCTCCCCTCCACAGACTATACTTTGGAAATGAGGGGGTGGAGGGGAGGGGGAAGGAATTTCAGGCCAGATTGAAATCAAATCCTCATTGAAAGCAGTTGCGATACTGAAATTATTTTAAAGAAATGTCATTATCAACCAAAAAGATTATGCAGAATTGTGATAATTTCTCCCCACTGGTAAAAAACTATCCATATGGAAATTATGAATTATGCACACCAGTACATTTTTTACTTTGCATTTTTAAGTTAGCAATCTCACTGTAATGTTAAGTTTCACTGTTCCTTCCACAGATTATTCAAAATCAAAGAGGAACAGTTATCAATTTTCATTCTCAGTGACATTTTACAATTTAGTATTGTAAATTTAATTTGACAAAGCCATATTACACATCTTATAAGTGAAGCAACTCCAAGTACAGGAAAATAAGCTTTTGAAATACTAGTAGTTACAGAGTTGCTGAAATGATGTAATAATACTTAGAAGATCAGCTGTAGCTAAAGCAGCGGATAAATATTATGTAAAATTAGAGGTGGATATTGTTTCAGTTATTATACTTAATTATTTTTATGCCAGAAACAAAGAGTAATTCTGTCAATTCTTACCAGTAATGAAGGAGTGTTGATATCTATATGTTCAAAGACTGTAAATTCCTTCTTTAATTTTACTGGTAGAAACCAAGGCCTATGCAATTCGGCTTTCACCCAATAGCGCACACTGCCATGTCTGCCTTCGAATGAGGTAGCAAGTGGTCTGTGCAGGACACAAAGGTCAAAATTGAGTAAAGTCTTTTCTGTCTAATAATGATACAATTGATCAGATCAGGGATTAGTATGCAGAACTGCACTTTTTAATGCACTGTAATATTTAATGCAGCATAACTTATTTGCAAAGTTTCTGTATCTTGGAAAAAATCAAGATGAAAGATGGGAGAAAAAATCATCTCCAATTCATCCTACTATGGTTTTGTGTAGATTTTAAGGATTGATAAAGAATTGTACTACAGAATGCCAGGAGAGTACACATTTCCTTTAAACTTAAGAGGCCACTTTCACATCTAGAGTTCGCCCTTTTAAACCATGTTATGACTATCAACTGAAAAGTAGCATAGTATCAACCAATTACTGTTTTCGGTATTGTATACTGTAAATCAGTGTATTGTTTACTTGGCTGGTATCTCAGTGTCAGGTTAATTTTGGTTTCAAGTCAGCACTTTCATAGTTTGATTCACTGTAAGCAGAGTAAGTACTTCAAACTCTGAAAAAAAAGGCTATTTTGGATACCTTCCAATTCTCCTCTACCCTGATGAGACCACCTTAAAACATTTATAATATGTAAGAATATACATATGCGGATGTACATATATAAGGATATATATACAAAGGAGATCATCAACACTATTTTGCTTTGAATTTTGGCTGAGGGAAGTCCTTTTGTGGGAGCTGGACCAGAAACAATGTGGAAATGATCTCCAAACCTTTCACCATCACTTTTTTTTTTTCCCCTGTAACATCACAAAAGACAAAAGATCTTTATATTCCAATTACCTCTAATTAACAGTAGCTCGCTAACTTTTCACCTTATTTTATGCAACTAAATTTTACTGTGTTTTGAATACACTACTACATAAATTAGAAGTAAGTTATCTGCAAAGTTTCCATATCCTCCACAGGGAATAATACTGGCCATGCTAGTACTTTACTAGAATGACTCTTTCAGTTACAGGTGTGACTTCTCAAATTGCACATCTGAAGCCTTTACTCCCCGCTCCCCCCCCACCCCCCAATAATCCAAATAAAGCATTTTTCTAATCTGTATTCAGTGTTCCATTTGGCCCTATATTCTTCAGGGCAAACGTCTTTCTTTCCATGGTTGCTCTGTAGCTTAAGTGAATTTTGGAAGTATTCTATGGACACAAAATAATTAGTAGGCAGGCAGTGTCAAACTTCAGGTTTCTAATGCCAGCCTTTGCTTCTTTCAGTATTATTATTAACAGCTACTTTCACAGTCCTTCACACCACCTAAAGGTGTACTCTGAGCAACTGTGGCAGGACTTTGCTGGCTGTTTCACTTCAAGCTAAGCATTTCATGTTTGTATAAAAAATGTTTCGGGTTTTTGTATTTAAAGACCCTTTCAACTCAATGGAAGATCAGTATTAGCCGTATTTCTTTCTGAGATTTCCACAGAATGCTAAATCGCCTTTAAAATTCTCCACATATACAAGTGTTCACCTTCCCAGTAAGGTTTACTTTGAAGTCCTGTGCTGTTCACTTTGAACTGACCTGTAGAGGTGTTTCTTCATCTGCAGGTTCGGCTAACCAGAACCGCTAATAAACAAATTGTTTATAACCTTAGTATTACATACAGAGCTATTTCATGTAAGACACTGCCATTTTTTTTTTTTTTAAACTTTAATGACTTCACCACTTGTCTTTGACAAAGAAGTCTCCATTTCTCCATCTATGTTGAAACCCCACCTATTCTTCTGTAGTTTATTTTATTGCAACCTGTATTTTTAGCTGATTTCCATACTGGGGGCTCCTCTATATACAAGTATTTAATTCACATATGTCCATGTCACACATTTCAGGCTTGGCATGGGGGACAGGACAACAACGATAAGCACTTTTGTTCTTACTCTTGCTTTACCTTTGCTTTCTGAGACTCACGGGATTAAGTACGGGACATTTTTCTTGCTTCGTCCACCCATCCTTCTGCTTATTTCTATCCCAGGCTTTCTGCGTAAAGGCCAGCCTGCGTACATACACCCTATTTGAACAAGAACAACCTCTTTCTTTGTTCAGACCTAGTAAAACTTGCCACATCTGTTCCAGACTGAGCTCAAACAATTCAGCTGTGATTTTATCTCTAATTCTGCTGGTCTCCATGGCTCCAGTAAACTGTTAGTTGGGTTAGAAGGTATCTCAGCCACTCTGCAGTACTCCAGTGAGAGTTCAAATTTCCTCTTCCTCCTCTTGGGAAGGAATAAAATAGAGGAAAAGCTATTAAGTCAGCAGGATTTGGTCAAAAGAAAATGACCAACTAAGCAGCAATGAGCTCTGGGTTTTGTGGAAATTAAGAACTAAAAGGAATGTATTACAAGTTTAAAAGGAACCTCTTCAGTTTAATGAGATCATGTCCTCTGCTGCACGTTGGAGCACAATTCCTACTACCATTGAAAAGGTTTCCCCTCCACCCACAGCAGGAGTTTTACTCAGGAGGGTAAGCAGCAGGGCCCCAGGACTGCATGCAGGCACTTACGTCTGTGGAAGCTCAAAGCTGAATGCATATTCGTGCCTTCCCGAATGGATGGTATGAAGGCCTTCTTCTGAATTGTCATCATCTAGAAGGGGGAAAAAAAACCCAACATGCTATTCCACTTGCAAATGTTTTATACCATACGCACACTTCTCTTCTAGAGTAAAAAACATTTACACACTCATTACAGCACTTAAGAACATGGCGTCCTAGAAACAAGGATCTTTGGTCTATTCATATTAAGTGCTGGATGTGGGAACAAATCTCACCTACAGAAGGGTAGGCAAGACTGATAGGTTCACCTTAGACAGGCAGACGTTAATTCGCATTCCTTCCTATTTATATGCTTTAATTTATAATCCTGCTTGTGAACACTGATACAGTTGCAACTGATGCCATTTCAAGGCCTGCCTGCAAGATCTGTAATGGAAATCATGCCTTCCACGGTTACTCCTACTGAAAATGGAACAGGACTGTTTCTTTAACAGTATTAAGCAATCTACATGAATTCTGCTGCATAAGATCAAGTTCAGAAATTCAGCTTCCTTTTTTCTCCTGGCTGGCCAGAGTGTCCACAAATTCATCACCAAGAAAAGGAGTGGAAAAATGGAAAAATACCCCAAAGGGTGTACAACCACCACCTGGAAAGTACCAGACAAATTCAGGGGCACAGAAAATGGCCAAGCAGCCTGATTAACACTGTCTAGAGCTAAACTTTTTGGGTTTTGATAGGTTATCTTGCTTGGACAGCAAGACCCACGTATTTGCTGGTTCCACCAAGAAAGCTGACCTTCATTTATGGCCACAATTTCTTGCGTGCCTTTGAACATGGCAACCTATTTGCAGTTCACTCTGGCGTAATTACCACAAAGCCAGAAAAATGCTGACTCCGTCAAAACGAAAGCTGAGAGAAAAACAACTGAGCGACATGCACATAAAAGGGGATGGAACAATAAAAGGGGGATACAGAGAGACAGCACAAAAGGCAACCACTTATATTTAATGGTCTGAAGCGTTAATGGAGGCACACACACGAGAATTTTTAAGTTCCCATTGTCCTACAGAGAACGCCGATGCTCCCCCTCTTGCAGCGCACCGCAAATGCGAAGAGGTCTTTAAAAAGAGAAATAACCCGAAATTAAGGAAAGCCCGCACCAGCAGGCTACGGACGCAAATGCACCTTCAGCGCGCAGCGCCACGGAAAGAATGTCAGCAAAAGGACGAGACAGTATGTCCTGGCGTGGGGGATTGTAGTGGTTTTTTTGAGGTGCACTGGTGTGTTTTTGGGGTGGTCCCATCGCGGCGCTCCGCTCTCCTCCCCTCAACGCAGCCCCGTCCTGCCCCCCCCTGCCAGCTCAGCAGTCCCGCTGCGCCGGGCGGCCGCGCTGTGGTAAACAAGTGCT